TTGGGATGTTTTCGTGATGCACATTTTCTTTGCATAAAACTCTTATACGTGAGTTGCTGTGGATTTGTTTCTCCAAAGTACCTAGACTAATACACGAGACCTGAGCTCACTTATCCCCCGTGCTGTGCTTGACGAGTCTAAATGGGTTCAAGTCGGGCTTAGGTAGATTCACCTCGACGAAAGAGGGTGGATGGGAAAGCCCCTGGGGCCCCTGAGGTTCAAGAAACAGCCATTAATGGTGCGGTTGCTGAGAACCCTGCGCTTGATCATGGTAGGGTTGCAGTGGGGACAGGGCAGTGGAGGGCCCTGCCTTCCTGGTCGCAGGAACAGCCAGGAAACAAGGGGGATCCTATCAGAAAAGTGTGCTTGGGATGGGCTAGGTAGGAAGCGCCTTGGATTGGGCGCCGTTGCTAGCCTGTTATTTCAGATAGATCACTGCTTCCAGCTTGCTGTGGCTAAGGTGCCCCGACTGCCTGACTCAGAGCAACCCTGTGTACACAGAAGGAACACGGCTCAGACCTGCGCCGTCGTCACGGATGTTGAGCCCATTGTTGCAACCACTGGCCAGTTCATCTTGCTGAGGACCTTCTAGCGACCCAGCATGATGTCCTTTGCTAGGGACCGGCCTTTCCTGAGAACATGGCCGAAGAATGTGAGATGAAGTCTTGCCGGCCTCTCTTCGGAGGAGCACGCTTCCGTCTGTATTTCTTCCAAGACAGATTTGTTTGTTCTTTGGCAGTCCATGGTACTTTCAATACTCTTCCTCAGCACCGTCATTCAAATGCATCAGTTCTTCTTTGGTCTTCCTTATACAGTGTCCAACTTTCTCATGCATTTGAGGCAGTTGAAAATACCATCGCTTGGGACAGGCACATCTTAGCCCTCAAAGTAACATCCTTTTTAACCCTTTAGAGAGGTCTTGTGCAGCCTATTCACCCAATGCAATGTGTTGTTTGACCTCTTGGTTGCATTTCATGACTTCTGGCTTATCAATGATCAAGTTGGCCCAAGGGCTGCAGAGCCAACCCCCCACCAGCCTATACGCAGCCGCAGCCGGAAGCGAAGAACAGACCCTCGTGTGGTGGCAGTGGGTTGCTGTCATCGCAGAACCCACCCAGCAGAGATGGTCTGCTTGGCTCTGTAAAGATTACAATCAAGACAATGCCCGAAGCAGTTCTAGTCTGAAGCAGCTCAGGGGTCGCCTTGAACCAGAATCAACGCCATAGGATCTGGTTTATAAAGCTAAGAATATTTTTAAAACCATTTTTTGATGATGTAAAAGAAAGTCAAACTTTTGCAATGGGTTTTGAAAAAGGGAGTACTAACTTTAAACCTCATTTAAATGAACTGTTACCCACCTCTAGTTACAAAAACAGCAGAATTTCAATCTTCTCGTTGGTAGACTTGAATTGCACAATTTTCTTCTCCATTACCATGACTATAATTGGAACTTCATCAATACAAAGTGTGCAGTGTTTCATTTTCTTCTTGTTACTTACGGACCCCTGGGATAAACCAGAATTTGTCTTCGTGGCCTTTGAACCAAAAATGTTAACCCTTTGACCTTTTATTTATTTTATTTTTTTTGCCAGAAAAGGATATTTTTCTTTATTCAAGTAACTGCAAATAGGAAACCAGAGGAGGGCCCCAGGGGGGACATAGAAGAACGGCTGCCCCTCCCCAACAGCACAGGAGGAGAGGGCGGCCCTGTGCCCTCCCCAGTACCACACCCCTCCTCACTCTGCTGCAGCATCCTAGGGGCAAGCCCCCACCCTGCCTGGGCCTGGGCTGGTCAGTCACCCAGCCTGCTGGGCCTGGCCCCCTTCCCCTAGAAGCAGCATCCTGGGGGAGGGAGGAGGAGGGCAGGCCTGGGGGAGGCGAGGAGGATGACCATTTGGCACTGTAGCAGCAGCGATGATGACGGATGTCGAAGAATGAAACATTGAACAGAAAACAACACAACTGTCCAGAGGTAGTTTGTGAACAGAGGGAGGATGGAACCAGAACCTTGGGGGTAGTGGGGGGTGGGGGTGGCAGGAGTGGGCAAAGTGAGCTCCTTGGTATTAGGGCCCCATCTGAAGGGGGAAACTGAGGCCTAGCGTCTAAGCAGACAGGGTGGGTGTGTAGCCTGGCCCACCTAAGTGGCTGCCACAGGGACCCTGGGCCTTTGGGAGCTCACATGGAACCCCAGCAATGCAGAGAAGTGGGGCGGTGGTGGCGGCTGAGTCCCTCCTGCCTTCCTGTGCCCCTAGGCCACACACTAGCGTAGGGATGGAGGAAGGGGTTACAGGTTGGGGACACACTCAGGCAAAGGACCCCCACACACATGAACCACACCTGCTGCTGCCAGTAAGGTGGAATGAGGGTGTTCAGAAGATGGGGTGTGGACCCCTTTAAGGCCAGGGGAGCCCACCAGGTCCCTTTGTGGGGTGCCAGAGGGGCAAGTGGGAGCAGGTGGGTCTGGACAACAATGTTCACCCACCCTTGAGGGCAGGGAGGCAGCAGGTGCTGGGGGTGGGGGGAGCGCAGCTAAGTGGGCCATTAGCCTTGTCGGGGAGGGCAAGTGTATGTGCAGGTGGGGGGTCGCTGGGAACTGAGCCAAAGGAAAACTTGCTTGCCCACTGGGCCCAGGAAGGGGCCTCCAGCGGCTGGTGTGCTGTGTAGTGTGGCAGTGGGGTGTGCCCGGGAGGGGTTGCCGATGCGTGGGCCCAGGGGGCAGGGGTGTGGGAGTGGAGTGAAGCTGTCCAGTCCCGGAAGGAAAAGGCTCCTTGGGGTCCAGACAGGCTGCATGGGTGGGCGGTCACTGCTCTTCCTCAGAGGACTCCTGCGACATGCCCTCTTCCTCCTCCTTCTCCATCTTTTTGGGTCTGCCCCGCGGCTTCCTCCCAGGAGCTGTGCTGGTGGTTTTCCGGATCTTGGCAGCACCCTTGTTTTTGCTCCCCTTCGGTCGGCCCCGGGGTCTCTTGGGTGTTGGCACTTCGCTGGGCTCTTTCGGAGGCTGCTTGCGTGGCCTGCCCCGGCCTCGCTTCTCAGTGCCATCCTTTTCCTGCTTGGAGGCCAAGGGCTGGCTGGACTTTGAGCTCGATTCACTCATCTTCTCTAGGTAGCAGATGCAACAATGGCCGGATGCACGAGCTCGGCCGCGGGCCTGTGGTGCGCGCTCGAGGCTGCCGGGAGTGAAGGTGCCGGGCGCCGGGGACCGGCCTGGCCGCCCCGCTGCCGCCGGGAGCAAATGCGGATCTGAAAGCAGGGGAGCAGAGGCGCTCGGAATCTCCCCTTTGACCTTTTATAGAAAGAGTTCCCTGAGCTTTGCGGCCATGGGCAGGTCACTCCAGCCTCGGTTTCCTCATCTGTGAAGTGGTCATGGAGCCCGTTTCCGAGTAGTGTTTGAGGAATGGAAGAGAGCAGATGTTGAATCCCGCCTCGTGAGCTCAGTGCTTCAGGGGATGCTGTGAGGTGCTCTGATTCACAGCAGCCCTGCCTGTGATTGAGGAGGGGCACCCCATAGGGCTTTCTCAGCTGTCACCATCCTGGGTGTTTGCCCCATGGAGCCTCGGCTGGGTTTGAACCATCAACTTTTCAGTTAACAGCTGAGCACAACAGACGTGAGGGCATCCATTGTGAAAACTCAGTCATGAATGATTCCCCAAACCCAAAGCCAAACTTGTGGTCATGGCGTCCATTTTGGTTCCTAGTGGGCAGCCTGGTGGCATTGTGGTTACGTGTGGGGTGTTGGGGTTGCTCACTGTGAAACCACCAGCCAGTCCTTGGGAGAAGGACGAGGCGCCCTACTCTCTGAAAGAGTTGCAGTCTGGGAAACTCCGGGGCAGATCTGCCCCGTCCTGAAGGGTTGCTGTAAATTGGCCTCCGCTTGATGACAAGGAATGTGTGTATGAGGGGCTGCTCAAGGTCCTCCCAGGAGAAAGGGGAACCAGGATGGGATAGATTGGGTGCGCACGTTGTAACGTCGGGGGCATGAGGGCCAGCATTCCTCAAGAGTTGACAGCAGGGCCCTGGCCTTTGCCCCTCGGCTTGGTGAGTGCTTCCTCCTGAGCGCTCTGCTACATTAATGCTGCTTCTACATCATTTCCCCATGAAACGCAACGAAGCATCACTAAAAAATGTAAGGAACAGCTTCAGGCCCCTAATGAGGCTATAAATACAGGATGAAAATAATTTATAAAGCTGTCTCCTGTTTAAGGTTTGTCCCTTTATCAAGACCTCTTCCCTTTCCCCATGCTCAGCCCCTGGCTTGCTGTGCCGGCTTTTACAAGAAGGCGATGACACGTGGGCCACGTTGGGAGGGCTGCCGCCGCCACGCTTGATACGAGAAGCAAAGATGCGTGCAGTCCAGACGCTGGGGGAAGTGAGGCTCACGCACTAGCCAGGCGATGTGCCCCATCCAGACGTCATTCCTGCTGCACATTTCTTGAGGGTCTCGGACAGTGTACTTCGTAAGTCTGTGCCTGCTGCAAAGGGTCAGTACTCCCTGGCTGAGCCCACGGGAGCATTGTATACCTTCGTCTTAAGCTGAGTTCGCCAGAGAAGCAAAACCCATGACGCTTGTAGATGTCTCTACCCTGAGAGGTTTATTACAAGGAAATGGGTCACACAGTTGTAGAGGTAGACAGGTGCCCAGTCTTGGGGCCAAATGTCAGACCGCAGGTTTCTCCTGCAGGAGCTGATGAGCCCAAGATTGGCAGGTCCGATGGCAGGGTTCTGGCTGCAGAGGCAAATGAATCACAGGTTGGCAGGTGGCAGGTGACATGGCAGATTGCTGACAACCCCCAGAATGGGAAGGTAATATGGCAGGCCACTGGCGCAAGTCCACAGAACCAGAGGCCAGATGATGAGCTGGGTGTGCAGGGTCCAGCAAGAAAGCAAAGGAAGCAGTCCACGCTCCCTGAGGAAACTTCCTTTCAGTGGATTGGCTACTCCTAGCAGATCTCATCATGGAGATGATGACATTATGTTAGACCTCATTATGAGGGATGATTATGTCTTAACTGCCCAACTGCTGACATCCTGGCCCAGCCAAATGGACACAAAACTTTAGTGATCACAACTTTATCAGTTTCCCTGGCTATCTTTGCCCTACTGTTAGCTGCCTTTGAGTCAATTCTGACTCAGGGCGACCTCTCATCCGACAGAATGTAATGTGACCTGGCCTGTTCGTGGTCAAGATCCCGAGTCTGCTCGAGCGCATGACTGCAGCCACTGTGTATTTGTGAGGGCCTCTCAACGTTATCTAGAGCCGTATTCTGCTGTGATCACAGGGCTTTCACCGGCTAATGTCCAGAAGTAGATGGCCAGGCCTTTCTTCCTGGTCTGCCTTGGGTTGGAAACCTGTCCACCATGGGTGACCCTGCTGCTGTTTGAAATACCAGTGGTGTAGCTTTCAGGTCATAGCAAGACACAAGCCACCACAGCGGGGAAATGGACAGATGGGTAGGGGATATGTGTTTTTTCTTTGAACACGTGTACACGGAAGCTGAGGCTATTGGGGTAGGTGGAGCTGGAGACCTGGCAGCGCTCAGGTACTTGGAGTCAGAAGTGCCTTCTTTATTTGGTCTCTGGCAGCACCCACCTGTGACTTCCCTTTTCTCGGTGGCCCTGTAGCAAGGCTACAGCAGGAAGCATCCTGCTTGATGAGAACAAATGACCCTGGCCAGCACCTGGGGACAGCGTCTCTGGTTCCACCTGACACTGATGCCGCAGTGGTGGTGGTGAGTCTAGAGTTAGGGGCCTCTGGGGGTTCCTGGTGTGTTTACAAGTAATTCATTGCAGGCAGCTCATGAGGTGGCTTCACATGTCCTTGTGCCTGAACTGAGTGTGTGGAACTGAGGAGAGAGTCAGAGGAATGACAGACCATTGTTTCCAGTCTCCTGACATAGTGTTGTTGGCACCAGGCCCTGGGAAGCAGTGGGTGTTAGTTCCCTGGGGGCGGTTTTTCAGGATGCTCTGTTAAGAGCTGAGACTCAGATGCGAATCTGTATGCTCCACGTGAGTCTTGGTGGCTGTCCATTGAGTCTGCGGCCCTGGGTGGGCAGGGAGCAGAAGCCTGGACCACAGGGACCGCTGGATGGTTTGCAGATGTCAGCCTTGCATTGCAGCGCGAGGGAGGGGTGTCCTCAGGGGAAAAGGGAGGGGAGAGAATGCTGAGAACCCCAGCTGGGAGAACACCCGTATCTCAGCTGGGCAAGTTTGGGTTTGGGGATGAGAGCTGGCGGTGGAATGCAGCAGCTGTCTGCCCTTTCACAGTCGCCCCCCTTGGGGGCCCCCCAGCAAATACAAGTTTGTGGGTGCCAGAAATTTTGGAAGGCTCTGCTGCAGCAGGTGGTTTGCATTTGCCTAAAGTGAGAAGACTTGGAATCCCTGCCCCCACGCCCCCTGCTCCCCACCCCATGCCTGGTGCAGATGGTGTGGTTATTTTAAGTAAGGGACAGGCTCCAGGGAAATGGACAGCCCTGTTTCCTTTTTCAGCTTTAAGGGAAAAAAGAAAATGGAAGAGGGGAGAAACCCCAGGCAGCCAACTCCCCGAGAATGCTCCTCTTTGGGGGATTCTGACTGTGTACCTCCCTGGGCACTGAGCTGGGATACACATCGCAGCCACAAGGAAGTCCTGCTGTCTAATTAGAAAGAGGTCTCACCCTTTGGGATGCTAACGGGTGGTAATTTATTTACTTGCACACATCCAGACACCCCGTGCCCTTTAGTTTAAAGCTGCATGCACTTATTCTAGGAGTTAGGGGGTCGATGGAAACTTTCAAGGAAGAGAATCAGAAGATGGGGCATGCGTTGGTAACTATTCGTCCTTCTCCTTCTTTAATTTGAAAACCTTTTATTGTTTTTGCGGTTGACAGAGGGGATCATCAATTTTACACGGAACAGTTTGTACATACTTTGTTTCAACGCATCCACTGAATGTGCTCCGTGTACTTCCTCCCGCTTTCTGTTCCTCCTCCTTCCCTAGGCCTCTGAACTGGGTCCTTGGGTAAATTGCGTCCTTTTGTGCTGAAATGGTTCATCAGTGGTGAGTTCCGTTCCAGACCTGAAGGGTTATTGAAGGCCATAGGCTTGGGGGTGGGGGGGGTCCCGCCAATCTCTCTCTGACCAGTAAGCCTGGCCTCGGCCATGAATTTGAGGTCTGGTCTACATTCTTCTCACAGGCTAGCCAGGACCTTCTAATGTGATAACCCTTAGTTCCCAGAGTGGCCACAGGGAATTACCAGGGCCTGTCACAGACAACGGTGGCCCAGGGTGGAGTTTGGATCTCCATGTGGGAGACCCAGGCTCAGTTCCCTGCCAGCATACCTCCTTTCCATCCGCGGAGGCTGGTGTGCTGCTGTGATCCTGAATAGCGTCTAGTGGGGCTTCAAGACTAGGGTGGAACAGGGAGGGTGCCCGGTGAGCCACTGCTCCAGAAGCAGATTACAAAAACCCTGACCGTACGATCTAAATGCAGGGTTCATTCCGTCATGTGTAGGGTCCCCCTGAGTCATGGGCTGAGCCAATGTGGTTAACAGCAGCTCTTGCCAGGTGCCAGGGATGCAGCTAAGATGGACACCGTGCCTCTCTCTCCCTTCAGGGAGAGAGTACAGCTACATCTGTAATAAGACCTAGAATAAAGGGACCACAACACAGCAGAGCACAGATGGTAACTGCTGTAGACCGGGCGTCCAAGGAGGGACTGCGGGGGATGTGGCTGAAGGGGAGGTGTGAGGTGAGCTGGCTAAGAAGGTGGGCGGTGGAGTGGCTCGGGCTCCGACCAGGTGAGATGGCATCTTGCTGCCAAGGACCTCCTGTCTTTGAGGTGGTGGTTAGACAGGAGACTGGAGGTCGGCAAGGCCTTGCAAACTACAGCAAGAGCTGGAGATGTATTCCCAGGGCAGGTGGAAGCTGCTAGTTGGTGAGGTGTTAGAATCTCACTCTGCTGTGAAGGGGCTGAACTGGGGAGTGAGAACTGGGAGTCCAAGCTTGGTGGAAGGCAAGGCTTCTTGTAACACCTGGGTGCAATGGACATTTGGGGCTGATTATGTCTTTGTTGTGTGGAGGCTGTGCATCATAAAATGCTTAGCAGCGTCCTCAGCCTCCACCTCCTACTCGCCAGTTACCGCCCCATGGACTGCTAACTTCAAGGTTGATGGTTCAAACCCACCAGCTGCGCCAGAGGAGGAAGATAAGGCAGTCTGCGCCTCGAAAGATGGACAGTCTTAGAAACCCCTGCCGTGAGTTGGAATGGACCCCATGGCTGTGGGCTAGTTGTGACACCATGGGCCCTGGCGGCTCAATGGGTAAGTGCTCAGCTGTGAACGGAAAGGTCCATCATTTGAAACCACCAGCAGCCGCTCTGCCGGAGAAAACCCTGGTGAGCCACGGAAACGGGTCCACTCTGTTCGTCCGGGGCCAATATGAGTTGGAATCGACTCGGCTGCATGCCACCAGCACAAGTTTTGACGGCCCCAAACGCCTCTAGATCTTACCAGATGTCCCCTGTGGAGCAAAGCTGTCTCCCCTCTCCCTTTTGAGACCACTCTTTGAAGGGAGGGGGCTGGGGACAACACAAGGAGGTGATGGGGGCTGGAGGGTGTCTGAGGGAGGCAGATTGAATGGGTGGGAAGTGCATTCTCAAGGCAGAATCAACGGGGTGCAACTTCTCCACGCCTGGTTTGCTCCTTAGCCTGTAGTCTTTGTGGATTTCCTCACTTCCCTCAAGCCCCAGCCTATCTCCCCCTTGCACACATCAACTGGTGGAGGGGGGTCCCCTCAGAAGAGCGGCACTGCCCCGAGATCATCCACCAGGCCTCAGCACCCTGGGCCCTGTGGGGGGAAGGACCCCTGTGGACGGAGGACATTGTATTCAGCCTCGGCATTGCCCCCTTCCATTTGTTGGGACCACAGCTGCCGGCGGCCTTAGTGACTCTCAAAGCGAGCACTTGGAATCTAATCTGCCGGGTTTTCTGCCTCCAGAAAATCTCTTTATCCGAACAAGCTGCTTTTCCAAAGGGCGTGCCTTCGAGGAGCTAGCTCCCGAGTGTCACTGGTTTCCCAGCAGAGCGGAACTGCAGTGACCCTCGGAGCCCTGAAGGCTTCTGTGCTTCTGGTGATGCCCGGAGCGGAGCAGCTGTTCGGAACAGCTGGAATGTGCGGGCTTTACTGTTGGTGGCTGGCTGGAATCCAGCCCCTGCCCACTCTTCCCAGACCCCTTTCCCATCATCCCCCCTGCTGGCATCTTGAGCCCCAGCCCTGCCATAGTGAATTGGTTTCATGTTCTTGGGATGGGTGGTGGCTTCCTGGGGAGTGTTCTTTTTTTTTTTTAATTTTTTTTAAAAAACATTTTATTAGGGGCTCATACAACTGTTATCCCAATCCATACACACATCAATTGTGTAAAGCGTATTTGTACATCATTTCTCAAAACATTTTCTCTCCATTTAAACCCCCGACATTAGGTCCTCATTTTTCCCCTCCCTCCCCGCTCCCCCCATGGGGAGTGTTCTTGAGAGGGATTCTGAGTGTCACAAGAGTGCTGTGATTGATTAGTGATGTTCGACCTGGTAGAAGCAACAGGTGGAGTGGTAGCATGGGGCATTTGCAGTTTCTAACGTTCACGGCTGTTTTTATCCCTCCCACATCCTTCAGTACCTTGAACTGCACCTCCTAGCACTTAGGTCTTCGCACACTTTCTGTAGATCCAAAGGGCCTTTCTTTTTCATCTCTGGGTATCCATCAAGACCTGCGGCAGGTGGCACCTCTGGACTGGAGCCTTCCCTGTAGCCCTTGAGTTTTGACTTCATCTTAAGGACACCAGGGACCCAGCCCCTTGATGACTTTTTAAAGCAGAGAAGTGTCCCGATCCGTCCGCGCCTTAGAGAGTTGGTTCCTTCTGACCACAGAGAGGGGAATGGATTGGAGAGGGTGAGGACCGGAGTTAGGGAGGCCAGTGGGGAGGCTGTGGTAGCAGCCCTAGGAAGAGTCGGTGAGGACTCGTGGCTGTGACAGTGGGGACAAGTGCACAGGACTTGGGGTCCCAGCAGGATTTGTGGGGTTCTGGTGTGGACCGTTGTGGAGTGTGGGGGCCTCTCGCTTAGCACCTTTTCTGGACTTCCTTGAACCGTGAGCACATACATTTCTGCAGGAGACATGCGTGTGCATCATTGCTTCAGTACAGTGGGGCAGATACTCTGCGAGCCAGGAGTACCCATGGAGCCAGAGCCCGGGGAGGGTATTGCTTGTGTGTGGCTGCGCCCGTGCTGATTGGTTGTTGCTGGTGTGCTCCAGGCATGACGTAGTCTTCGTATCGGAGTAAGGGCTCATTTCTGCAGGGAATGCTCAGGAGAGAATCTAAGTGGGATGAGAAAGGTTGTGTCAGGATTCTGGGGAAAGACTGACCTTTAACCTTGAAGGGCATTCCAGGGGTCAGGAGCAGCACGTGTGGAGGCATGACAGATGCGCTATCAGGGAATGGGGAGACTGAAACCTAGAGGAGCTTCTCTTCGGCAAACGTATCTCAGACCCAGTCTCCTGTCACACATAGCCTTTTAGCTCTTGCCCCCTGGCTCTTGGATCAGTGCCTGGCTCCCTTGAAACTCCGACCCCTGGACCTCGGGGGGATTTGGGGTTGTGGGAGGCCTTGGTGCTTTTCAACACGCTGTTCAGTGGTTTGAACTCTCACCCTAAACCAACTCTCAGCCTTCCTGATGCCACGACCCTTTCATACAGTTCCTCATGTAGTTGTGATCCCAGCAACCATAGCATTATTTTTGTCGCTACTTCAGAACTGTAATGTTGCTACTGTTATGAATCATAATGTGAATATCTGATAGGCAGGATGTATTTTCATTGTTACAAATGGAACATAATTAAAGGATCGTGACTCATCACAAAAACAGTATGTCATTATAGATTGTGAAATATTTATTTCTAATTACAAATAAATAAAATTTTGTCTGGAAGCATGGTGTAGCATGGGTAACAGTCTTAATATAACAACAGTAAACTGCATTGCTATATTTTGCGACAGTATGCGTAAAAAGCCAACGTCGGTGTAAAGGTTGCGATCGCGTCTTTCTCACCACTTCAGCATAGCTGCACGTGGGCAGAGCCGCCTGGGGATGGATAGGAGCAGTGTCTCCCTTCCTAAGACCATCGGAAATATGTGTGACCCCCACGGGGTCGGCCTCCAAAGGGGTCTCGACCCATAAGTTGAGAACCTTTGCCCTAGACCTTGGTTCTAAACTTTCAGTAACTCTTGGCAAGCAGTTGGGTGATCATGGTATCCCGTTGGAGTTTAAAGAGCCGTAGTTCAAGTTTCAGCTTGGCCTTGCCTACCCGTGTGAACCTCAGGCAGGCTGGGTTTGTAGGCCTGTGCTCCTGTTTCCGGAAGTAAAATGATCTCCAGGTAGCCCTGCCAACTGAGCCTTCGCCCAAAGATTCGGCGATGTGGAGGGTCTAGAACCTGGGCCTGGAGGGATCCCACGTCGAATCTAGCCCTTTCTCTTCTCTGTGGGCCTAGTCTTTAGCCACTGCTGAGGGCAGACAACAGGCTATTTGAATTTTAATACAGTTAATAGGGCACCTTTTGGCCCCAGGGCACCAATCCTGCGGCAGGCCCTGCTAGGTGACTTCCTGTGTCATTCCACCTTGTTCCGGCAGCATTCCCAGGGAGATCAGTCCCATCTTGGAGGTGAGGAAATGCAGGCCCAGAGTGGGAAGTCCGTGACGGAGGTCACTTCTGGTAGTGGGGATGAGGTCCTTTCTGCTGTGGCCCTGCTCTCTGACCCCTGTCCCTTCTCTCTGACAGAGAGCCAGCTGCTGCCCGGGAACAACTTCACCAACGAGTGCAACATTCCAGGCAATTTTATGTGCAGCAACGGGCGCTGCATCCCGGGCTCCTGGCAGTGTGACGGGCTGCCCGACTGCTTCGACAAGAGCGACGAGAGCGAGTGCCGTGAGTGACTCCGCCTTCCTCTGGGGCTGGGGGTGAGGGTCCTGCTTGCTGCATCCTAGTGGTTTGGGGCTCTGCCCCCCCACTGGATGCCGCCACTGTCTCAGGAAGGCTGCTGCTGCTGCAGCCATTACTGGTGATAGAGCCGTGGCTTTGGAAGCCCCTGTCCGGCTCCCCTGCCCTGGGGTATGGTTGTGGCCTTCGTGGTACAGCCTTTGCACCAGAGGGAGCTGAGGCTCTCAGCCAGCAGGTAGCAGGTCTGGTATTGGAACTCAAGGCTGCCTGACCCCAACATCCAGGTTTTCTTGACTACTCAGTGAGGTGTCGCATTCTGCCCACCACCTGTCTGCCAGTGTGTGGCCCTGTGGTGGTTGGCATGTTGCTGTGATGCTGGAGGCTCTTGCCACTGGTATTTCAAATGCCAGCAGGGCCACCCACCCGCGGCGGTCAAGTTCCAGTGGAACTTGCAGAGTAGGACAGACTAGGGAGACAAGCCTAGTCAGCTTCTAGGAGTTAGCCAGTGAAAACCAGGTGGACCACAAGAGATCTCTTGTCCCAGGCCATGCTGGGGGAGCCCCTTGGTTGGACAACACTGAAAATCTGCCATGGCCACGGTCAGTCTGACCACAGACGTGGTCAAGAGAACAGCAGCCTTCCGTTCTGTTGGGCGTGGGGCCAACCGGCCACGACGTTGCATGTCCACCGTGGAGCTGGTGTTCCCCCGAACCCAACCTGGGTCTTCACTCCCGACATCAACTCACCTGGGCAGGCTCTAGGGGTCCTGTGAGCCTACGCACCCCTCCTTTGTCTCTATGCACGAGATGTGGGTGGTGATCACACATGAGAAAGCCCCCGGGGTTCACATTGGCAAAGGCTCCTGCTCCGCCCTGCAGAGGTGGGTCCCTCTCTCAAGGCCAGAATTCGCCACCACTGGGTGGGGTCAAGCAAGCCCTCAGGCTGGTGAGCAGGACCCTTGAGAGGTGTGAGACAATGACAACTCTGGGTGTCTGCCTGAGGCCACGCAGCTGTGCTTCTGGCTCTTGGTGCTTTTTCTTGGGCCTCCCTGGCAGGAGGCATGATGTGTTCTGTTTTTGAACCTGCTGTCTGTCTCTCTGGAAGCCAGCAAAGGAAATGGGGGCAGACAGGCTAATGCCTGAACTTGTAACACAGCTCTGGCCTGTGGCTTTTGTGGGTTTGGAGTCCAGCGCCGAGGTAGCACCCCTCACTCCTGATGGCCTTCCTACAGCAATTGCCTCCTCCGGACCTGGCCCCTGATTAGACAACATGTCGGCAGCCTTTTTGCCCACAGAGGGGATCCTACTACCAACCAGGGACATGGTATCCCTGAGGCTTGTCCTCTGTTCTTCAGAGAGGGTTTATGGGGAAAAAAAACTTGGGAAGGGGAGTTAGGTTTTGTTTGGGTGGGGATGTTTCACTGTGTGTTGCGTGTAACTTTTCTGACTAGACCATACTACATAATGCATTTTAATCTTTGTATCAGAATAAACAAGTGGTATGCCTACTTCAGGAGCCTTGGTGGCATAGCGGCTTAAAGGCTGCTAATCGCAAGGTCAGCAGTTCAGAACCACTAGCCACTCTTGGGGAGAAAGATGAGGCTTTCTGCGTTTGTAGGAATTACAGTCACGGAAATCCACAGGGCAGATGGGGTTGCTGTGAGTTGTAATGGACTCAGTGGCAGTGGGTTTGGCCCTGGTGTCGTGTGGTTGCCTGTCGGGCGCTAACTGCTAGGGCAGCAGGTGGAAACCACCAGCTCGCTCTGCAGGAGAAAGAGGAGACTTTCAACTCCTGTAAAAAGCTCCACTTTCGGAAACCCACAGGGGCAGTTCGAGATGAGTGGGAGTGGACTCAGGGGCAGTGAGTGATGAGTGACCTTCCGGGTCCTCTGTCAATCCAGTTCCATGATTTCACAATTCATGTCCAGACGGGCACAGGGTGTCAGAAAGAGGGAAGAACACTGGCAAGTGGGGCCGTGACTTGAACCGTTTGGTTTGGTTTGGAACATTCTTTTCTTGGCTGTCCTCCCATCTTCTTTTTTCACATTCCCTCCTCTTAAGTCCCGAGTGGGATAGAGATTTGATTGACATTTATTTGGTCTTTTGATCAAAACATAATTTAAAAACCATATACACAAACAGGCATTAAAAAACCCCCACTCTTCTCCATTGCCTTCTTTTTCCGTACGTTAAAGTATAAAAACAGAAGAACACTGGAAAGTTTAGACAATGGAGAAGGAAAAAACGTCCCTCTCCTATAGCCAGTTCTACTTTTCTTTAATTTTTTTACACATCTGCTTCTGTTCTCGGAGTTGAGTGTGTAAGCTGAGAAGACTGATTGTCTGTGTGTGCCTCCCAACCTTCCCTCAGGGAGTTAACCAGAATGCTGTAAATTTTAACCCTTCTAGAGGATCAGATGAGAATTCCTTAACCTCCTGGTAGCTCATATCCGCCTCCCACAGAATTGGGAGGTTTTCACTCACCAAGAAAGCACCAGCACGGTGCCTAGGTGCAGCAAGTAGCTTGTCGGTATTAACTGTCACTGGCTGGTTTGCACCAACTGCCTTAGACAGTTGTCGCCATGGGGATGAATGACCGAGCAACCTGCAGTTTTCTACTTACTGTTAGAGGTACTTAGTCATGGTGGTTGTTTTGTGAGGGCTGTCTAGTAATGTTCCATTGACCGGCTCACTCCCTCCTCGCAAGTCAATACTCACAGTGACCCTATGGGGCCAGGGTAGAACTGTCTTTATAGGTTTCCAAAGCTATACATCTTCATGGGAGCAGACCGTCCTCTCCTCCCCTCCCCTCCCCTCCCCTCCCCTCGGTTTCAAACTGCTGACCGTACAGTTAACCAACCAACTCATAACCCACAATGCCACCAGATCCTTTTGTTTCTTTGAGTAGACGCACCCCCTGTGACTTTCCCTGCCTCCTGCTGTTGAGTGTCTAAATCTTCTTTGCCTTGTTACTTTTGATCAAAATGCTTAAGATTAGGTAAGGTGTCCATTTCCAGAAGACAGAAATACGTGATGGTTTGAGCCACCAAGATGGGAGGGCTGGGTGTTAAGAGTGACCACGTGACCATCTTTGAAAGGCGCTCAGGAGGCAGTGGTGTGAGTTCCACCACCCAGTCTTTCGAGGGAGAGAGGCAGGCAGCCCTCTGTGTCTTTGCCGCAAACCCTTCCCCTGATTTTCTTCAACAACTGGAGACTTAAGGAGCGGATAATGAAGGCAGCCAATGTTCTCATCTCAGGGCAGCAAAGCTTTGGCTTTTGGAAAAGAGAATTCTTGTCCTTTCCAGAGGCTGGGGAAGGGCCAGGAGAGGTGGAGTAGGAGGTGGTTTCCACAGCACAGGAAAGAGTTTCAAAGACAGGAAGAATTGTGTAAATCACAAAGAAAATGTAACCTCCGACTTGTGGGTGGGAAGGAGAAAAACAGAGGACTCCCTCAGAGTGTGCCCATTTGATACCTGACCCCTGTTGGGTCTGGCATGGCCACTGGTAGCATGCTGACCTTTGTGCATGTAGGCTTTTCCCCAGTTGTCATAAACACGGGCATATAATTTTATGTTTTGATGCCCCCCGTCATATAACAAGCATATTCACACTCCCCCAGATTTCTCTTTATAATTGTTAATGCCTAGATTAAAGTCTGTTCAATAGATAGAGCACAGCTTGATTACCAACTCTGGGCATCTATGTTCCTAAGCACCTCACTTAGGAAGATTGTTCACTCCTGTGACCAGGAAGGAGCCCGTGGCATAGTGGGTTATGCAGTGAGCTGCTAATGGAAAGTTCAGCAGTTTGTGAACCCACCAGTCACCCAGAGGAGGAAAGATGAGGCTGTTTGGGTCCTGTAAAGACTTAAAATCTTAGAAACCCATGGGAGTGGGGTGGGGAGTTCTAGTCCTACCAGGTCCTTCGGAGTCAGCATCAACCCGATGGCAGTGGGTTTCGGCTGGGTGGGGGTGGGGTGGGGAGTTCTAGTCCTACCAGGTCCTTCGGAGTCAGCATCAACCCGATGGCAGTGGGTTTGGGCTGTGAACATGAGGGCCAGGACATATTTTCCCCACCTGTGAGTGATCTTCTCAGAGTAGGGCCTGGGGTCCTTGATGCCAACTGCCCAGTGGGTTTTTGAAAGGGTTGCCCCAGTTTGCTCTCACTGGTCGCTCCTAAGAATCCTAGCTTTCTTGGAGCCTGGCAGTGTCAGGGAGGATAATGATGCTTTCAGTATCTAGGTAGTGCACTAGTTCGAAATGGGGGTGTGCCCTCATTTTCCATAGGTACTGAGGCTGGATGTATTTCCACGCCTCTGTTTACTGGTTGTGTTTCCTTTATTCTGAAATACCATCGTTAACCCTCTAAGGAGACATTTCCAGCAGGCGTTTTGTTTTCCCGCTTTGTGAAGTTGGAGAATGACCTCCGGAAGGCTTCCAAGGAGGATGTTCCTTCTGAAATAGCTTGAGTGTATTTCTATTCCTGTTTTCTGGAATGCCCTAAATGACCATTTCTCTGAATGTATCAGAGGGGACTGACACAGCGGCTGCAGCAGTGGGCCCAACACAACGGCAGTTGTGAGGATGGTGCAGGAGCAGGCCGTGCGCTCTTCTACCGCATGTGCATTGGGTCCCTCTGAGCTGGAACCAACCAGCTGAGGACATCCGACAACTACAGTGTACGAGGGCCCATCAAGGAGTCCGTAAAACATGGAACTGGAATGTCATGGGGTTTTTCCATGACCTTTTTGAAGTGCGCGCGTGCACGTGCACATGCACCCTGAAGTAGACTTCTATTTCAGGAACCTGAGCATGCTCTAAGAAAGCAGCACCCATGGCCAGAGCAGGGGCTGCATTCCCCGGGCGCTCAGGCTTTACCAGCTTCTCCAGGAACACAAAGGCCTTATGCGGAAGGGACCGTTGTTCTCTCTAATCACCCACAAAGTGAGCCTGCACAGCCCTGCACATCAGAACCCACGAGCAGGGGCCCT